AGAGAGAGAGAGAGAGAGAGAGAGCTGTCAACTCATGTTTGACAATCATACCAACCTTTTCGAGCGGTACTGACTTTCTGTATAAAATATACTGTCACATGTAAATATTTATTATTTTTACTGTACAATAAATCGTGAATTTTATCGCATCAGCCAAATCGTCGATGAAATAGAAGAATTATGTAATGTGCATTTTTAAATTGTAAATATTATTTACAACAATTAGAGACACTTTCAATGTTTTTTAGGCTGATGCGGCGAAATAGCGTGAAGTTCTCGATTTTTTTATAATTTGTTATTTAATGTAAAAAAGTGACTGTTATAAAAAATGTTCTTTATTAAAATGTTGTAAGTTTTGTTTCTTCTTTTTTTGTATCAATAACGTATAAGCTTATCTCTTGAATTAAACATTTTTCTATGATGAACTGCTGTGTTTAATTTCTCTTACCAGTGAAAGTTGATATCGTAGATATTTCTTTTTTTTTTTGAGAGATTTTAAAATTAAAACTCTGATATAAGCGTCAATGATTAGCGGAGTAAGATTCGGAAAATAGTTTATCTTCAATTAATTTGGATAAGAATGTTTCGACGAAATAATATAAAAAACAAACAATTTTAAGTCTATGGATACTGGATGTTTATTATGTGTATATAGTGTTAAATTATCAACCTATTATTCTTATTATTATTCACGGTCGCCGCTAACATGCAAGGCGACGCGTTGTACAAAAATTTATTCCCAGTATCCTTTTTACCATTCAAAAAGAAAATTAAAGTTATAAATTTGATATTGGGAACTAGGAAAGTGAAAAAGTAGGAATAATGATTTTGAAACAAATATTAATTTTTAATTGTTTGAAATTTTAATAATAAATACTCAAACGCATGAGTTAGTAAAAAAAAATATTTTTTTATTACATGTGTAATAAATACGCGCAATTTATAATAAATTTCAGTAAATTGAAAAAAATATTTCCATACAAATTCATCGGTGAAGTCAGAGGTATGTTAATAAGTAACAAAAAACTTGATTGTTTAGAGACATTGCACGAAGAATATATAAAAGTGAAAGATTGAGATTAAACAATGGGCAGATTTAAATAAAGATATTCACGAAGAAAAAGAAATTGAAGAAGAAGAGAATCAAAGGCAGGTTAATATAATGAAGAGATCGCAATTCGTCGTCGTTATATTTATTTGCTTTATTGTTATATGTCATATAATAGTTTTATATCATATATCGCAGTTATCATAAATCAAATTTGAAAATAGGCTTTAAATTATAACAATATATCCTTAGAGAATAATTGAAGCGCTCCCTGGAATATAGGTCAAAAAGCCCTCGTACGATTTCCATGAGCTTCATATCATTATCATTATCATTATCATCTTCATCATTACCTTCATCATTATCTCTTTCTCTCATCATCATAATCGTCTCAACTTACGCGTGTGGGGACCGTTTCAATTATAGTATATCGTCGCTATGTATTGAACACTTGCCGAAATCCCCACCAAGAAAGATTTTCAAATGTTCAATCGAAATGAACATTTCATATATCCGAGTGTGTGTGTTTGTTTATCTCTATATAATATTATATCATTACTAAGTCCAGCCGAGATAGCAGGGTGACATCTGTCTCCCCTTCTCTATGTATCTGTTTTTTTTTCTTTTTTTTTTCTCTTTCTTTCCTATAGTTATGTTTTGCGTGTAATAATAACCATAATATAATAATAAACATTATTACACCACCACAGCAATAATAATATTATAATAGCACTGTCGCACTAGGGACGCACGGCTATATCCTCATGCGTTGGCGGCCCACTACCACTTTTACAATGAACTGTATTCATTGATCTGAATAGGATTCGGTATATATAATATATTATTAGTACATTGCGTATTCGATTCGTGACACATCTCTTGTAACGTTTACATAAATTCGATTTTCCCGAGAACCTGGTCGCGACGTTTACGCGTGGTGTATGGGGTACGTATAGAATTTTCTCACGTTCTGCGTGCTGTGTGTGAGCTCGATAAAAATTCGCTACAATCGTGATAATCTGTATTCGATGAATCTGCTTGAAACAGTACGCGATGCTCATTATTCGATAAAGAACTTCATCTACGAAACAAATGCAAAGATGTAAATGTATTATACCGGAACGGCTGTGTGGCCAATGAAAACCTCCTTTATTTAATCATCTTTTAAGTAATCGGTTGGAACTATGTCGCTCATCGTTTTCGTATCTTCGATCAAGTAAATGATGTAACACTAACGTACACTTGTCGATGAAAAACTATATGGACGTTCGTCTAGGTAGAAATAAAGTGAAAGTGCTCTTTAAAGGCGATTAAGACGTAATCGACGATCGCGAGTCTACAGTGCTAAGGAACGCTCTTTGTTTTTCCCTAATTACTACCTATCTGTTCTGGGGCACAGTTTAGAAGCAACGGTCAAACTTGACAGAGTTACAATAATGAATTCAAGCGTAAGTGCAAAAGTGGAAGAAGAGTAATATGTACCCAGGTTCGATGAAGCCAATATGGTTTCCAAGACTTTCTTCGTATCTTTCATTCGGACTGTCTCCCTCAGTCTCAATTCTTCACTCTCAATTTGCAACATGGAAGTAATCGGAATCTCTCGTTTTGCAAGCAATTATTTACACGATTGTAACATGTCCGTAAGATTACAGCGTTTCTTTACAGCGCTCTAAATAGTAACACGTAATTTTCGTCACCTATCGTTCGATATGGTGGTGCTAGAAGCACAGCTGTCCTCAACGCAAGCAAACGAAATTTTAAATCAATCGTAATTCGAAGCAAGAGCTTTGTCTTGGATATAATAATTCGTATCCATCTGTGATACGATCTGTGTTAAATGTTCCATTATCGGTGCATTGTACAGACTGAAGTAGCGATTTAAAACATGTTATGGAAAAAAAAATATACATATATATATATACCTGAATCATTGTAATTTGGCGAATACGCTTCGCTATTACGAGTCTGTCTCATAATAATGTGGATTTATGTATCTAGCAAAATTTTAAACGTCAGTTAACGCTACTACAGAGGCTAAAGTGGCGATGCAAAATGTAAATTTTACGTGTACGTATTGTTATATGTATTTAGACCATCGTTTTGGATTTGGCAAATATGTTTCAAAATATTGCAACTCCGAATCGTTTCCGAATATCGCAAACTCAGATTCTTTTCGACAATAGAAAATAAATCATCATTATTAACATTCAATTGTTAGGGGATAGCAATGTTTCTGCTGATCAACGATTGATAACGGAACATATTCGTACGGCTAAGAAAAGCATAACACAGATCCGAGGTAATTATAATTAATTACGCTGTTATTATCTTACTGTTGTTTTCCTTAACCAGCACGGACTCTCTTTCCCTTTTCTTTCGCTCTTGTTGATATTGCTTATAATTGCGTCTGTAATTAACTCGAGAAATATATTAGCAATAAATTGAATAATTAAGGATTTATCCTCTAGTGTGACAAGCAATATTAAGAGAGAATCTGGGTTTGAATGAATATAATAAGATTGTAATATAATTCATGTGCCTACAAATAATTGATCCAATTCAGACTATCGCTATTACTATCTCTTCGTTTCTCATTATCAGATCCAAAATATGAAAAGATTTAGAGGTTGAAGCTGTGTTAGCACAATCAGTTTTTGTGTTTTTTAGTGGGTCCATTTAGTCCATGCCTGCAAATAAGTAAAATTAATATATTCATAGTTCCCTACAATAGTATTGTCATATCATTATCCGTAGTTTCAAAAAAAAAAAATTTCAAATCGGAGGAATTTTACTAGATAAAGAAATCTTACCGGATGTTGCTTGTCTTGTACGGCATCGGGCATTCCCCACGCAGGTGGATCTATCTTATTCTGTTCGCCTTGCGGGAGTTCTGCCATGTCATATTGTCCCGGCATTAACGTCAATGCTGGCATGAGTGACAATGTCGTATTTCCGTTAGCCGGGAAAGGCTGTTGTGTATTCACATGGCCCTAAACACGAGAAGTTAATTACACGCGTGTGCAAACAAATAACATATGGTAGAGATCTTGCGAATTTTAATCTTTGATATTACAAAAAGCTTATAGTACTACACAAATCTGCCTTCTATCACACGCGCGCGCGTGTGGGTAAGTGAAAAATTAAGCATACAGGGATGGATGTCAGAGATAACAATGATTTTCAATTTTCTTAATACCAACGAACTTCTTACCCTTTATATTTGCAAAAATCGTCATTTTAATGTAAAAAATATACAAATTTATACAAAATCGTAATGGAATCATTTATTAGTATATTATCAAAGCACAGAAAATTATTTTGATCTTTAACACGATGAATTTTTCAAGTTATGTGAATTTTTTATTACTTTTATCAAGTACTTATGCAGTTTTAAGGCATAAGTACTTGATAAAAGTAATAAAAGATTTAGATCTTTTTCTTACCATTATATGTAACAATGTTGTACAAAATATAATAAATTATTAGATAAAAATAATTGCAAATAATAAAATTAATCATGTAACCGTGTGAGAGAACTGACAGTTACCTGGAAGGAAGATTCCATCATTTGATGAAGCTCAGGTTCGACGGTGGATATACGTTGGTTATAAGTGGGATTCGATCGAAACATCTGGTGCCTGTCGATACCAGGCGCCAGGTTGCAATTCGACCATGCTAGTTTCTCATTGAGCATCCAACTGATGGAATCGGCGTCCCCGCCCGGACCCATGCCCGCTGCCGAGTAATTCTTCCACGTTGCTCTTTCAGTACCGATCGGTCGTGGTACTTTGCGATCTTCGATCTTCAGTTGG